TATGGATAGTACTTCCCACACTCTTTTAGTAATAGCAATAATGCGAGACGCCCTTCCTAACTGTCCCCCGAATCTAATCACTCTCCAAGAACTCTGTGCACTTGTGACTCAAGCCAAAATTTATCATGATGTGATGGTCATGTCATCTGGATTGTAGGGATTAAGGTGTTCCTCTCATTTTATATTGTAATGGGATTTATAAACATTTATAAAATTGCCTGAGCTATAGCTAATGTGCTTATCACTGTGATGAAGTAATTATAAGCTCATGAGATTATTGACTTAGAAAGCTTCAAAACTTTTATGTGAAAAGGCAGTTATAAACTCTGATTATTTTCTTTTTATAGTACAGGTAGACCTTGATTAAAGGTCCTGTTTTTTTAATCTGTACCAAAAATTTAAATGACATGAAACAAGAATAATTATTCGCCACCCAGGTCTCATGACTCATCCTATACAAAAACAATTGAATTTGATTAAGTCAAAACCTTTTAAATAAATGGTAGAAGTTATATACTGTAGTAAACAATAATAAAAGACAGATATACGTAACTCATTTGATGATGCAGGGGAGCACACATGACTGTTCACAGACACATCAAACTGGAGGGACTAGGGGAGGGGTTCTTTTGTTCCTTATCTTCCACTGCTGTTATGTTTAAAAAAAGCTGTCCAACATGGCTTTTTCCATCTTTTCTATATCATTGTATGAGAGTAACTTGCTTGCAGCATACTTGTTTGGGAACCCATGCTAATCATCTTCCTTATCTTCTCTTTGTTCACCTGGATTGGTGTCAGTGAATGAATGAAGTCAATGCTTGAGCAACATTGATAATCATTACACTATTTTCTTAGTGCTGTATAACTTAACCCAATGTCAGTGGGTTTATTTACTGTCCCCTTTAGATTTTAGTGAGTTTTGTTACATACAGATGGCTCCACATGTGCTCAGCAGCAAAGAGTCTATGAGTTAGCCCTAGTGACTGATCCTGATTTCCCCATTCCTTGAATTGTCAGGAAATGTGTTTTTCCTTCCAATACCATTAATATTGACATTGTTGTCATTCTTATTCATATTATAATTTTTAAATTGTTATTAAGATATTAATAACATCAAAGACAATAAGATAATAGGATTGTAGCCTTCAAAAACTGAATGAAAAGGGTAAACAGATGAGATAGGTAAGACTAATAGCTGACTCCTTGGTGACTAAGCACTTGTAGAGCCATCTATGTGTAAAGACAATAGATAAACTTTTATTACAGTAGGCATGGCTTTGTAGTCTTGCCACCTGTGCCCATTGGGTTAAAATTTCATAGCAAGTGAGATACTCTTGCATGTTTTTTTTTCTTGCTTCTTTATCCTTGGTGCCCTTCTTTCAGCCACTTCTCATAAGAGAACCCCAAAAAAAAAAAAAAAAAAAAAAAAGCAAAAGCCATGAAAAAAAGCAAACAGACATGGTAAGGAAAATGCAGCAAACCGATATTTGTTAAACCAAGATTACCTGGACCTGACACAGTACAGAGGGGTGATAGAGGAAATCTAGAAATTGTAACTGTTCTCATCCTTTGGTGTGTATGGAGAATGTCCATTAAATGTCTGTGTATTTCATAAAAGGCAGTGGTTTTGTGATGAAACAGTATATGATGTGCAGTAACAAAAGCAAAATTCATACCTTCCAATGTTTATGGCCAAGCATTGCAGCATAATCCACCTTATTCCAGTATATTTAGTATAAGGATCAATAGGTTATGAAGGATGCAGCAAATAACCTTAAATATATGAATCACTAAACACACACACACACGTGCACACACATGCGTGCACACACACACACGCACACACATGCGTGCACACACACACACGCACACACATGCGTGCACACGCACACGCACACACAAACACATGCACACACACGCACACACAAACACATGCACACACACGCACGCACACACCCGATTGCACACACCCACACGCACACCCGCAACACACACACACACCCGCAGCACACACACACACCCGCAGCACACACACACCCGCAGCACACGCACCCACGCAGCACACGCACCCACGCAGCACACGCACCCACGCAGCACACGCACCCACGCAGCACACGCACCCACGCAGCACACGCACCCACGCAGCACACGCACCCACGCAGCACACGCACCCACGCAGCACACACACACACACACACACACACACACACACACACACACACACACACACACACACACACACACACACACACACACACACACACACACACAAAACACATACACACACAGACACACACAGACACACACACAACACACACATACACACAATGCACACACGCATGCACACACACACACATGTATATATTTGTTTTCCATGATTCTACAGCCTGTGTTTTACAGTGGCCAGGAGGTGGTGACATGGCACGACGTCTAGCCCTTGGAGAAGGCTTTGTTGACACTAACCAAGATGTGTCAGCACTCACCTTAGGCCAGGCCGGCT